CCCTGCCCCCCTCCCACCTGCCCAATACCCTATTACTGTAGTACCCATGTGTCCACTTAGGTGCTGCTCAGTTAATACCAGTTTGCTGGTGAGTATATGAAGTGCTTGTTTTTCCATTCTTGGGATACTTCACTTCGTAGTATGGGTTCCAGCTCTAACCAGGAAAATATAAGATGTGCTATATCACCATTGTTTCTTAGAGCTGAATAGTACTCCATGGTATACATATACCACGTTTTATTAATCCATTCTTGGATTGATGGGCACTTGAGCTGTTTCCACAGCTCAGGAAAAAGAGAGTGGAACTTACAACAGTCCCCAAAATAGAAAAAAACTTTTCAAATAGTGGCTGGCTGCCCCTACAAAAAAGTTTTTCTAGAAAGTTACTCAAAAAGGCCCCAGGCAAGTAGACAAGGCCACACCCTTCTACGGGAACTGAGCCATGCCTCCACTATGACTCTGGGTCCCTAGAGTAAAAATGTTCCAGAAAATGGGCTCTGCCAGGACTATCCCCCGTCTGACAAAACAAGGGCACTGGAAGAGCAAGGATGTTCTTCCTAAAACAGGAGATCACATCGACCTTCTGGAACTGGCTGCCCTACCCTGAACGGGCACCCTCCAAACCCACAGACCCTCTGAAATTGCTTCAGTCGGAGGGGCACGTCAGGCTTCGGGACAGATTCAACTTTGACACATCAGGGTGGCCGAGCCTTAGGTAAGTCTCTGGCACAGGTAAGAACTAATGCTAGAGCCACGTCCTTTGCTCTTCCTGTATTTTCAGGGCCTCTATTTCCCTCTTCTACCCCCATCATCAGAGTGAAAGGTAAAATACAAACCCTCTGTATATTCCATAGATTTTTCTGTCTGCTGGGAGATGAAGTCTTCATTTGTCCACCCGTCCCTTTTTTTTTATTTCAGCATATTATGGGGGTGCAAATGTTAAGGTTACATACAATGCCCTTACCCCCCCCCCCAGTCTGAGCTTCAAGCATGACCATCCCCCAGACAGTGCACATCTCACTCATTATGTATGTATATATCCGTCCCTTCCTTCCCCATCCCACCTACCCAATACCCCATAAATGTAGTTCCTATGTGTCCACTTAGGTGCTGCTCAGTTAATACCACAGCCAACACCTCAATCTCTGGGGCCTCAGCGACTCCTATAATCGTGGCCTCAGCCTCGAGTAGCTGGGACTACAAGGCATGCGCCACATGCAGGGCTAATTTTTTGTATATATATTTTTAGTTGGTCAATTAATTTATTTCTATTTTTGGTAGAGACGGGGTCTCGCTCAGGCTGGTTTCGAACTCCTGACCTTGAGCAATCCGCCCCTCGGCCTCCCAAAGTGCTAGGATTACAGGCGTGAGCCACCACGCCCGGCCTGATTAAGTATTTTTAATACATGTTTTCTTTAACTCAAATAATATGATTGACTACATAAACCAAATAATATCATAAGCTAAATTTGGACTCCTGGTTATTCCTTCTTTATTTTGATTTCCATCATGAAAAGCCCATTTCTCAGACACCACTTAACTCTTTTTACTTTGGGTAAGACTGGATATTATTGCCCTTTCTATAACAACTATAGATCACTTAACTTCTTATTTTTCTTGAATGGATCAGTCACTTTTATTCAATAAATACATATTCAATGTCTAGCCTACTAGATGCCAGGGAGTGTGCTAATTACAGAGCAAGATCATATTTTCAAGGTACTTATAGTCAAATAAGAAACTGAACAAGTAACTATTATTAATAATTATAGCACAGTGGAATAATGCTAGTTAGGAGAAAATACAAGATTTGAAAGTCACTCAGAGAGATGCAGTCTTGTAAAAGTCAGGCAAAGTCTCCCAAAGGAAGTGTAATCTAATTAGAATTGCCACAAACAAGAACTTGTTCCAGGTTTGAACTAACTCTATTGTAGGTTTTGAAGAAGTGGAGCAAGTGAAGACAGAGTAGGTGCAGAGAAGTGAAAAGAAGAAAGGTGAAGGATTCATACATTCCACAAACTCCTGATCATTTAATTTTCTCATTCTCCTGTCTGAATTCCAACAGTGTCAACGGCTACATTTACCTGGGAAATTCTACCCTACACTATGTGTGTGATTGGGAACAGAGAGAAGTGAGGTTTCTAAAATGATAATCCAAAAGTGCGTGATGTTATTAATACATTCTTTCCTTAGCTGTCATCTTTTTTTTGTTTTTTTCCAGGGCTGCTTAAGAGCTGAAGGCAAAGATTTTAAATAGATGCTTTCCAATTGACTTGTTAGGACACAGCCACGTATTACAAAGCGTTTTTGGTAGGTTTCAGTGAACTAAACTAGTTCTACTGATCCAGGGTCTTCACTGCCCTCCTAGTTCCTCCTGTCATTTTCTTCTCTCCCCCAGCCCGCTTCTCTAAGTTTATTCTTTTGAAGTTCCAACTATCCCTGTTATTCATTAGTGAGTAAACAGGGATTCCCGTCTCTATTCTCTTATGTTTTGCTCCAGGCCTCTTTTTTCCTCCTTCCTTTTACTTCTCTCCCTTCCCTCTCCTAACCCCCGAGGCTATTGGCAAATTTAGGAGTTTGATTATGAGCCAAAGAATAAAAAACTAATGGCAGAGGCTTCCTAATCTGTGTGAATGAACATGACTCTGAGTGGCTAAATGCATCTGCACGTATGTATTCATATTCATGTTAATCATTGCATCACAGATTTCACAAAGCCAAGCTCCACAGATTAATCTCCGCCTCCTCTGGCATTCAGAATAAAAACTCACCAGAAACATTCCAAATGCATAAGTGGTCCTCATCCTCTTTTTGCAGCTTAATGCCTGTCTTGGTATTGGAAGAGAACTAAACTAGATCATTCATTTCTTTCAGAGGATCATCTGAACAGGTTGTACTTTTATATTCATTGATATTAACACTGAGTTTTAGGGCTAGAATATATAGTATGCAAATTATAGATACAAATCTTTTAAAAAAGAAAGCACAGAAAGAACAAATATTGATACTTTAGTAA